CTTCAATAAACTTCGAGTGGATGGAGATTTCCTCTGCCCAGGGCTGGCGTAGATGAGCGAGGGTATGAAGATTCTTTTCATGGAAGAAAAACTTTCCAAATTCCATTTCAAGCCCTGCAGCCACAGTAATGCCATTGTCCCGAGTGAGAGCTTTGTCAGCCACCGGTGGCTGACATTGTCACGAATGGGTTAAACTTCCTAATGTGGCGATGTTTCAAAGCTTGACGAAGGTGGTAAGCAGCGAAATAGTGGGAAACATTTTGAAGGGCTTCTGGAAATTTTGGACCTCTTGAATCTTTTGAAATAACATTTTTTTATCCTCAAACTGTTGTTTCACATTGAAGTAATTCAAGCATTTTCCTAGTTTGGCATTAGTTTGATATACCGCAGTGAATAACCGGTTCTTCCCAAGCCTTGATAAAAATGTGAAATTTTGGTTAATCACTAGGAAGAAAACTTAAATGTGGAAGATTCGTATTCGATTCCTGATTTTCTCCAGCATTGTCGTCATTCAAAGACCTAGACAAATTCAGTAACGAACGAAGTCCATCAAGTCCAATGGTCCATCTCCTCAATTATGTATTGAGTCGCGAGACGCCACACGCATTTCTAAATAAATATTAGTGATCACTTTCGAATGCCACGAGAGATAGTATAGTAAGGAGTTTTCAGAGCAGTATTGGCGAGTTGGATCCTATCCTTCAGGAGGTCCTTCAACGTTCAGGTAGTTGACTGTATCTGAAACGATTCCTAAATTCTGAAATAATGGACACTATGTGCTTTCAGATGCAGTGCTAAACGAGCGTGAGGAGCCAATGATGCAGAAAAGAAAAAACGAGTTTATTCGCTTCGGAAAACGCGGTGCACGGTGAGTATCACAAAAGCTTCACTTACAAAGTAGTCAAGCCGAAATGACACCTTTTCGCTCTTCTTCACAAGCATTTCATTAGCTTGGCTGGGGTGTAGCTGGGGGAAGGGTAAGGTGGAGGTGGGGGGGGGGGTGAGGGTGTCGTGGTGTAGCACACTCAAGGCATTTGAAGCCACCAGGAACATTTAAATCCTATGCTCAGTTAAGCAAAATGCTTCACCCACCCCGTTCCTTCCTCTCGCTGCGAGAAATTGGGGCCATGTTGCGCCCACTTGCGGACTCTTCCGCCACCAGGTCATCTCCACCCTCCACATCTCCCTCCCCCCCCCACTTTTCGCTACACCTACGCCATATTGTTTATTCCATATTGTTAACCCACTGTCCCCCTCGTTATGCGTGCACTGCGGCACCTTTTTCGATACTTCTCATCAGTAATAAGTAAACCTTCAAGAAAATCATTACTGGTAATGAAAACACTGTTCTTCGGGCCCGATAATGTAAATGGGCCACTTTAGAATGCGGAAAAAATACC